GATTTTGTTATATAATTTGTACACACAAAAAAATATAAAAATGAAAATAACACGCAATCATATATCTGTATAGGGAAATGACTGGCTGACAACTAAAAATCGCCCAGAACAAAATAACTGATATATACTTGAGGCATTATAGTCAAATTAGTAAGTAAAAGATGTATAAACACCATGTTATATATAAAGTGAGGCATGGTGATTTGGCACTTCATGTTCCTCATGTGTCAGCCAGCATTCATCCTTCACCTATGAGTACGATCCTGAGTCAATGAATAATCCTGGGAAAACACTCGTTCACAATTGATAATAAAGAGAACTTTAGATACCCATTGCAAGTTGCATCTGATTAGAAAGGGTATAATACAAACATATTTGTAAATGTTAAATATATTAGCATGATCAGCTGTATATTGTTCATTTGTAATAACTAATAAATTTGAACTATGAACTGTTTTGACACAGTACTTAATGCTTTATCTACATAAAGGTTGAAAAGTAACAGAAAAATATATCCCCGCCCTTACTACATTAGTTAACATCAAATTCATCAAAGGTTATTTCCCCAAAATCAAATTAACAAGCAAAAGACTTGTTTCTATACCAATCCCACAAAACTCTAAACTAAACATAAAATGAAACATTTCTACAAATGACTTTTTTTTTAGTATTTCTGACATGTCATGATGTGTAGTTTTTGGGTACATATTTAGGACAAGCGTGTATGTATGGAGTATTTTAATCATGCATGTTTTGTATTGCTGCTGCTGGCTGCTTTATAATTAGTTGACAGTCTCTAAAATGCAATTCATACCAGTATGTTTTAAGAAGCATGTAGTTTGAATCATTTACCTTTTGCACCGATGGAAGCATAGAGATTAATATTACGCTATAGGGTGTATACAAAAATGGTCCTCTCAGTTTATCCCTCAAACGGTTTCACAGCAAGTCGGGATATCTATGTTTTGTCAGAATAATCCCTTCAATACAGCATGCACTGTAAGGTTTCAACGGTTTTTATCAACTACATAACGTTTGTACTGCAAAAGAAAATATCCCGAACTTATTCACAATAATTGACAAATCTCTATTTTAAGCGAAGTTGTTGTCATTTTGGGTGAAAATATATGTTAATGCTCTTATAATAGTAAACCAAGCCAAAAAATGTATGCACGGTTCCGGTCGACTAGCAAAATTGGAATCCTTTGACAAATATCAACAACAGATGCGACAAAGTTGAGTTGCGATCAGGGAAAACGGCATCGGTATATATACAATATATCTGCACACAGCTGTTGTGTTGTTTACCACAATATGTATGTGCACTGTTTGATTTATATTTCGATATGCAGTTAAATGTCACACTTTTGAAAATATCTAACTCCTTTATTATTTAAAGCATTTACCTCCAACAATAATAAATGTAACTAGCCCTTTTTGCAATGAAACCAGGCAATAAATACAAATTATTTAGTATTCCGTGACTACACATTCGATGTAACGATAATTCTTTTGACACAATGCGGGACGAAATATGATTGTCTTTGAAACTGAAAAAAACATGTATTCCAAATTACGATATATGATCCCAATCAGACATATCGTCTTAATGTCAAAAAAAACCTATTGTTCATACATTAATCACATTGGTAATTTATTATTATATTTTACCAAGACGGAGAATCTGTTAACGGTCCCTGTTAATGTGTGCCCAATGTGAGTGTATACTTTTTAAGGTGTATAGTGCAATGAAATTATAGTTATGACATTTTTTGATGCGCTATGTATCACCTCTGACGTCACGTTTTATAATTTACATGAACATAAAGAATGTATATGAAACATGCAATTTACATAATACGTACGACAAGAAGAGTTCATTGTCGTACAGCTATCAACAATGATAGGCAAAAATCAGCGCAACAAAAAATCGCCAATTAGAATGTTTACTAAAGATTTATTTTTTATTTTTATTCCTGTTTTCATTTATTATTTATTTATTTATTTATTTGTCATTCATTTTATTTTTGTGCTTTTTATTTATTTATTTTTTGCAATTGAGGGAATGATGAATAAACTAAGCGAGATTGTTTGATGAGTGATTATGAGAATATAGGTTAATTCAATAAATGTGAACATATGAGTGTTGATGTCAGTCAAGTGGAAACATATTTCCCGTGACATTTCTTCAACATCGTTCTCGTTTTATAACAGCAGCTACTGGATCTTCCGCCATCGTTGCACGGTTTTGCTAGCGAAATTGAAATCTGTCGAACAATATCTACAGATGCGACAAAGGTGAGCTGTGATCAGGGAATACGTAATCGGAATAAATACAACATGTCTGCAGGCAGCTTGCAACCACCTGTTATAATGTCTACATACTGTGTATGCGTACAGTTTGATTTATGAGCGATCGGCAGTTTCTTTTGAAAATATCAAACTCGTTTATTATGTAAAACCTTTACCTCCAGAAGTCAATGGTAAATGTAGCAAGCTCGTTTAGCAATGAAGGCATATATGGCAAATTTAATTTATTTTGCTACACTATTCCTCTATTCTAAATATGGTGTTCTCAATTTATCTTTTAATTCATTTCATTGCATTTTTTAATAATACTTTCTATAATACTATAATATGCTGTGTATGATTTCTTCACGATCAAAATAAATATCGAATATCTAGCCCTCAAAATAGATGAAGATATGACGTGTAATACGATGTTCATGAATACCGCCCTTATCTCCATAATTCTAAGACTAGTAAAATGTCTGGGTAGCTGGGAAACTTCGTGCACTATTGGATTAAGGTGATTCGCTCAGTGACGAAGAAAGTCATCGGATGAAATGGCTGTCCATCAACACTTACATGCAAGTGTGAGTGGCTGTCACAAGTGAGAAAAGAAAGATGGGTGTGGTATCGTCCATGAAAATCCACAGTCAGTTTGTAGAGATTCACCTATTAATGTCTTGTCCTAAGATATTATTATACATCGGTCACCGTAACGCCATACGTTACAGCGTGCCGTAATTTTGCGGTATTTTACTGGGTATTTTCATCCTACCATATAAGAAATGTGAATCCCAAATATGGAATGATTACGCGTGTAACCGTCCTCCAATAATAAAAAACAGACATGGGTCCCACCAGAGAGGACACCTCAAGTACTGTCTTCGTGCATACTTTGAGGTATCCTCCTCGTAACCTCATATTATTTCATGGCGATAAACATAAATGCTGGTGTTGGCAGTGATCATGACAGTGACGATTATTATTGAACCTTGCTGTTATCAGTCTGACGCTAGCAGCCCCGCACCAGGTAAGTTTAA